TAGTGCGTCTCTTGAGATCAGGGGAGTGAGGTTTACCTGCACAGCTCCTACCGCTGGCCTCCGTTATACACACATGGAATCAGACCAAACGCAGACGGATCCTTTCAGCTGAAGAAGAGCCTGAAGACCCTTACATCTCAAGCATCTCAGTATCAGTGTGTGGTGAATGAAAGGATTCTGCCAGAAGTGATTTCCAGTACAAGATTGTAGGTACGGCTGTCTAGTCTCAATATCACTTTTGTCTCTTCGTGTAAAATTGGGTTTATGTTGTGTGACAGATCAAAGTTTAATACATGCATTCATAAGATCACTTTACAAACAGAATCAAAAAATTATAACCGCATTTTGTGTTATAACCACATTTTATGAGTGGAATGTCCCTTTAAAATGAGACAGTTTCGCTTGGCTTTGAATACATGTGCGGGCATTTGTTTCTGCTCAAGACAGCAGTCCAAAACCATAACATAAAATTTTTCACCAAACATGCAAAAGTTCACTTCTAAAATGAACAAAGTGGAATCAACAAGTTTAAACTTCAGTGTTTTTTTTTGTTTTGTTTTTTAAAGAGGAAACAGAAGGAGAACGCGAAGTCTCTATTATTATAGCTCTCTATACGAAGCAGACTTTATTAAGGCCGCAGAAAATAGACGCGCACTAGAGGCGGTTTAGCGAGCCACAACACACTGGGCTAGCTAACCAATCAGAGCCCATCGCGTATTTCTGAGGGAGGGGCTTCATGAAATCAGGAAATCATCAGAGCGTTTATAGGAGAAGGGACAGAGCGGTGTAGAATAAAGGTAAATTATGTGAAAAATAATGCGGGTTTTTTTTGATGATCTGGATTAAAGAGATTATATTAATCCTGCTGTATTTCACACTTTCAGGTGAAGATGTTTAATAATGTCTGAATATCTTTACATCTGTGCCTTATAGAGCAGAGACTGATGATCGTGTCTCTGTTGATTCATAGATGAATGTTGATTATCAGTATTTGTTCTTTAGTATATGACATATCAAGTTCAGCATATGAAAATGTATACGCAAAGATAAAGAGCACTCATTGCAATGTATAACCATTGTGTACATTTAGGTAAAAGGGGTGGTTGACTGTTTTTTTTTCTAGGCTTGATTGTGTTTATGGGGTGCAGTCTAACATGTGTTCATGCCTCGTTTAAAAAAAACAAAACAAAAAAAAAAACATTATTTTTCACATAATTTACCTTTATTCTTCACCGCTCTGTCCCTTCTCTGAGAAACGCGCTGATCATTTCCTGCTTTTATGAAGCCCCTCCCTCAGAAATACGCGATGGGGTCTGATTGGTTAGCTAGCCCAGTGTGTTGTGATTGGCTAAACCGCCTCTAGTGCGCGTCTAAGCGTCCCGCCCCTCACCTCAGCAGCATGTGCTTCGGTTGTATTGTAAACAATGGCATTGTCAATATTGCTTATCAATTTGAGCCCGATTGAGAGGATATTGTTGAAGAGGATCGTGCAGAACCTGTGCAAGCACGGCTTTTAATGGTATGTTGGTTTGTTGTTGTCTCATACTTTTAGATACGCTGTTATTTGTGACTGCTACTTCTTCTGGTAGCTTTTAATATACGATTTCATCCTGATTAAAGCTTTAATACAGTACGGCAAACGCACGTGCATCCATGTATAACGTTTCTCATAGCTATGTAAAAATAAGTGTATAAATGGAACAGCTGAGCTGATGATCTGAATGAGAGAGAGAGATGCAGAGCAGGGGGACGCGAGGAACAGTATTAAGAACCGCTGCTTTAGAACATTGATTTTGAAACTTGTGAATCCATTAGAATTGTTAGAAGACAGAATCGTGATTCATATATGAATAGATTTTTTCGTGCACCTCTAGTTTTCTCTTCCTCTTCTCTAAAGCAGTGCAGGCCTAGCCCCCTTTGCTGCCTTTTTCCGAGGGCAGGGTTTATCTGGGTTTATTATGTCACGAACCCGAGAAGTAACTTGTTGTAGTCCCGACCAGCCGTTTTTGTAGGCATTAAACTATTGACAATTAAACTCCACACACCTGACGACAATAGATAGGTGCGTTGGATGCAAAGACCAGCCAGGTCAAAAAACTAAAAACCAAAAACCAAAAAAAATCAAAATATTTTTGGGGTGTACTTTGTGATGTCATGTTTAAAAAATTCCTGATGAAGGTCATGTGACCCAAACGTAGTCAATAAATATTTTGATATTTTTTGCATAGATATTTGTGCAGGATTTGTTTTTTGCTTTTTTGTAGACATTAAACTGACAGAATTTTAAATTCGATATCTCCGTTTGCATTGAACTTTCAGCTTCGTAACTTTGCAGATATTGTTTATGCTCAAACAGCAACATTACACACTAGCTAATGTTAAAAAAGTGAAATCACAATCAGCCACCCCTTTAATGTAATAAACCTGTCATAAAAATCACTGATTACGTGTTCTGAAATGTGTTTTTATAGACCACTTACTGAATGTGATGTGTTATTCAGTCAACATGCAAAGCAAACTGTTACTAGCTAGTAGTTAGCTAGCCAATGAGATCGAAAATTAGGACATTAATCATGTTGGGGCATGGGGAAAAAAATCATACTTCACACTTAAGTCTTTCAAAAGATGCTTATTTATTTGAATTTGCAGTCTTTGAATTTAAATAGGAATACAAGAATTGAGCGTAGACAACCGTGCAAATTCAAAACAGCCACAATCAGACGTGTGGACCAGGAGAAATCACAGCATGTGGTTTTAATCCATAAAAAAAGACAATCCCTGCGTCCCAATGTTCATACTATCCATCCTAAATAAGTGTGTCACAAAGCAGTATGTTGAAAAGAGTATCCCAAAAGTCCCCGGATGGTCTACTATTTCAGGTCACTTCTTTTAGTGTGGACCCTTGCACACTCTAATGACTAAAATTGCCCACAATCCAGAACTACAAACACAAATAAAACGCGTTAAAAACTACAAACATGACGGATGTGTGCGACCAGACGTTAGGTTTACAGTTTACATTACAGATATAAATATACAAATATATATTTTGACAAGAATACAAAGAAGAAAAAAAAACTAAATGTCAATAATCCAAAAGACAGCATATATAAGATCACTTTTCAATTAAATTCAGCTCTTTAGCAAATACAATTGTATCTTTACATTTTTTGCTACCAATAAATTGAAGAGAATCCATATATGAATGAACATCAACCATAAAAACCTTCAAACAAGGTTTAGAATTATTTATTTTACTTTTATGGATATGAAATTTACCAAATAAAATCATAAGATTCAGCATAAAGTTAACCGATATACTTTTTGATTCAAAATAAAATAAAACATCTTTTGAAGTCAACTCACAACTATAACCAGTTTTCTCTTGGACATAATCACGCCCGGATAATCGAAAATGGGCAAAAGGCGGGATGTGGGTGGAGCTGGTTGCTGAAACCACGCCCCCCTAACACGATGCTGGTGACAGCAGCCACAATCCACCTGTCACTCAAGTGGCCACGCCCTTATTTATGCAGAACTTTAAGCTTAATATAATTTAAACGGATGAGTTATAAAAAAATATATATTACTATTATAGCTATATAGACCAAAAACACTTTTTGTAACAGGCTGTAAACATTTTTTTTTCCTGCTGTAAAGTTGGGCATTTTAACATGGGGAGTCTATGGGACTGACTCCCTTTTGGATGTCGATGTTGATTAATTGCAGTTTTAGTCACTTCCGTGTTGGTTTCAAGAGAGAGAGACCGGAAGGTTGCCGCTTGGTATCTTTTTTAAAAAATGCTTAAAAAAACTAACAAT